GCATTTTGCTATGGCGCTTAAAGGGCTGTCAGACTGCATCAGTTCAACAGTGTAGACGCACCACCGCTCTTGCATTTAACCATACAATCAGTGCAGTTTGATACCACTTAAACTGCCATGGCTCAGTGCTATGGAATCCTGGGAGTTGAAGTTTAGTGAGGCATCAGCACTCTTTGGCAGAGAAGGCTGATGACCTTGTAAACTGCATCTCTCACGATTCTACAGCATTGTATATTGGCAGACACTAACAAAATATCTGATAGATCTTTTGATTCTTATGGTGTTGAACTGCATTCACAGAATCATAGAATCAAAGAGTTGGAAGAGACCTCATGGGCCATCCAGTCCAACCCCCTGCCAAGAAGCAGGAATATTGCATTCAAATCACCCCTGACAGATGGCCATCCAGCCTCTGCTTAAAAGCTTCCAAAGAAGGAGCCTCCACCACACTCTGGGGCAGAGAGTTCCACTGCTGAACGGCTCTCACAGTCAGGAAGTTCTTCCTCATGTTCAGATGGAATCTCCTTTCTTGTAGTTTGAAGCCGTTGTTCCGCGTCCTAGTCTCCAGGGAAGCAGAAAACAAGTTTGCTCCCTCCTCCCTGTGGCTTCCTCTCACATATTTATACATGGCTACATGCATTAACTACCATAGAGCTGTGCTGGAGGACCCAGCAAATGCTTAGAATGGACATTTTCTCACTTTGAGAGAAAGGTGGGATTATGTTCAATAAATAAAATGCAATAAATAAAAGTTTTGTCAAACATAGATAAATGAACCTGCACATACCCGTCCTGCAGATACAGGGGTCATACCTTATGTGTGTTTTTTTTTAATTTGCTTTAATTTGTTTTAATTTTAATGTTTTGAAAGTAATGTTTTGATTGAATGTTTGATTGAAAGCTTTTAAAATTATTTAACTTTATATTGTTTTAGATGTTTTGTTTTAATTTATATGGCAAGCCCCTTTGAGTCCAATTTGGCAGTAAAAGGGAAATCATAAAATAATATAAAAATAAAATAAAAAAGTAAATAAATATATTTTTACAGGTTATCAAAATGGGATTACCCATGACTACTCAGAGGAAAAGAAAAGCAGTATAATAACAATTACCTGCAACGAATGTAAGAACAAGATGGAGAAGGGGATTAATGAAGGTGACACCATTATCAGGTGGACGCTAAATGGCAATCCTTTTTTCAAAGAAAGCATTAGCAGTGGAACAAGGAACAGCCTAAGACTCAACAAACCTTTTGGGCGTTATTTTGGTCTATGGAAATGCACCCATCCTCGCTGCCTTACAGAGTTTGATGGCTACTGCTTGGAAAATGATTCAAAAACTTCAAAGAATTTTGGTGATGTAGAAACATCAACTGTATCTCCAAAAGGTAAAAGTATGTGCCTCCGGCGCTTCTGTGCATCTGAAATAGCCATTCTTTGGATAGAATATAGTTTAGGGGTTTTTATTTTGAACTGGTGGTTAAATGCTTTACAAAAAGACCCATTCTTGGTGAAGAGTAAAATAGTGAGGGTGGGTATGGAGTAGGCATTTGCATTTGGGGGGAAACCTTGTCCCGTTCCGGGCCCTGGCTTTCGCTGGAGCCACCGATCCATTTTTTGTAAGCCTCCCAAAATTGGGAGAGTTGTTTTCAGTTTTCATTTTGGGGCCTGAAAACTGGACCATTATGGGAGGGGGCTTCCCACCAAGTGACTAGCCTTCCCTGCATGCATTTTTCTTACCTGGCACCTGCTGCTTCTATTCTTAGAATAAGAGGCACTTACCTGCTGGCACTGGCAGGTGCGCACACTTTCTGGGCCTGCCTACATGGCCTACCACATGCACACTCTCCTTGGAAAGTGTGTGTGTGTGTGTGTGTGTGTGTGGCAGGACATGCAAACAGGCCTGCAAACCATAGGCACCTACTAGTGCTCTCTCCCTTGTCCCAATCAACCATGCATGCGACTTATACTGAAGTCTAAAGGCATCTGCTCTCTCTAAGAGTCTTAATGGCTTCTATCTCCACTGAAGTCTAAACTGTGTAACTGTACTCACTGCTTCTGATGCGAACACACGCTTCTCTACATGGCTTCTTAAAGCAAACACTGATCTAAAAATGAAGTCTTAATCCTCAACATGTTCAGCCCTGATCATATGGTTTTCAGTCCCTCCCACAACAAAGAAGTTAGGTAAAATTGCAAACCAATACACACATACAATACACTAAGCAGTTATATACATAACAAACAACTAGTGGAGACTTGAGAAGGTTACTATTTCTAACAGACATTGGATTTTGCATGCTGTTGTGTTCTTATTCCTATTCTATTCTGTCTTTTCCCCAAAGCAGGGATCCAAGCGAGGTTATAGAATATAGAAAATAATGCTTAAGCTATACAAAAAGTTACAACTAAAATAGTATTAAACAGTCAATAAAATCAACCCATTTGAAAAGATGGTAATGTTTGGTAAAGTGGAAGGCATTAGGAAAAGAAGAAACTGCATAATGGGTGCATGGATTTAGTCAAGGAAGCCAAACCCTGGGCTTGCAAGGCCTCATAAGAATGTCTCTCGGAGGTCTCTCATTTACTTGAATCTAATTTGAAAGTGATTAGCAACAACCCCTGTATTATATTGGTAAATTATGATTGGACAGCATTCTGTTAGCAAATTACAATGCCAAAGTGTGTCTTTGCAGGCTTTCATTTTTAAAAATTGTCTCACCAGCTCAAGATGAGAAAACGCTACTACCATATGTGATTGGTGGTAGCATTGCTGGAGTCCTCATCCTTTTTTTCATATGTGTCATCATATTCATCATTTGCAGAAGGAGTCGTTCACACAGTGTCAGGTAATTTGCCTTTGGAACAAATGTCCCAGCTTATGGTTTGAGGGATGCATTAGATATATAAAAAGTGTGGAAAATTCAGGAAGAAAGTGCTCAGTCAATAACCATGGGCCTGATCATTCTCTCATCTTGTAGTATACCAGGCCTATTGTGTAGACAAGCATCTAGATCCAAGAGGTCTGTGTTTAGATTCAGAATTCTGCCAATCACATCAAGTCTATAACCTGAAAAGGCCCATAAGTCAAACTTGGATGTCCATGTAATGTCCAGGGACATCCAGTTTTAAACATGGGATAAACTGTGCTGCGCCATTTCAATCCCATGTAAAGCAAAGTTGGGGAATACTTCCAATTTTCACTACATTCAGTGTGGATAGTATACTGCCCCCAAAACAAACTTGTCTGCTATCCACATGGACCAATGTCACCATTCTTCTCCTCATGCAGTTGGCAACACAGGGGAAAAACAATGGATTGGGGTCATGTTGTTCCCATCACTACCCCCTTGCTTCTTCTTGGTGACATCAGCAAAGGCACCCAATGATGGCCAGGGGCTTTGTAGTCACTTCAGCAGCAACAGGGAAAGTAAGGATGACTGCCCAGCTGGGCCAAATTGGTTTAAGCCCAACTGGACCACATAGACCCATCTTTCACCACTGCCACGGGTTGAGAGTAGAACATCTGAACAGCTTGTGGGATCCAAGGAGCATTTCAGCTCCAGACTGAACCCAGATTTTTAGGAAGCTGTCATTGAGTTCTTGGAAAGAAAGAATGAGGAAAATAGTGTTCTGTGGCCACTGGGCTTTATATACATCAGTAAGGAATAGAGTTGCCTTGGATTTCCAAAACTAGCCTGATGCTCTTGGAATCAGATTATACCTTCATTGTCAAACCTAGAAAGGCCTTCAGCTGTACATGGAACAGTCCCATTTTGTTCTTCGCCTAAGCCAGTGATTTCCAACCTTTGGTCCTTCAGGCGTTACCAGCTGTTAGGAATTGTGGGAGCTGAAGTCCAAAATATCTGGAAAACTAAAGGTTGGGAACCAGTGACCTAAGCAATCTAGGAAGTCTGTTCTGCTGGGACAGAAATGTAGGTCCTACAACTTGCTGTCCTTAATTTTTTCTTGGTTTGGGCAGTGGGTGGAAAGTGTTGTAGTAGCTCAGTTGGAAGGATACTTGTTTTGTCCGTAGAAGCTCTGGGCAACTTGTATTCAGCAACTCCATCAAGCCACTGCTGGGTAGTGGCAGACAGCCTTTACCAGTCTGATGTTCTACAGATGTTTTACACTGTTCTGTGCATCATCATGGATTTGACTTCCTTCTCTGGAACAGCTGAGAATTTTAATCCAAAATACTTAGAAAACATCATATTAGGAAGGAGTAGTGTTCACAATGTGACCTAGATGGCCAGGGCCTGGTTCAGACTCTCCAGCATTCGTGCAGACGAAGGTGCCAATTTTTCAGTTTTGGTGGGCTCAGCCGTGGGGCAGAGGAGAAGTGTGTGTGCAGATAGGATAGTTGTTACTATTTGGAGACACAATCGGTTATATCCTTGTGCCGGCAGGACTGCTGATGGACAGGTCAATGGTTGGAATACAGGGAGAGCAAGTTGAGCTCCCTCTGTCTGCTCCAGCTCCCCATGCGGAGGCATGAGAGAAGCCTCCCACAGGATGGTTAAACATCAAACATCCAGGCATCCCCTGAGCAACGTCCTTGCAGACAGCTAATTCTCTCTCACCGGAAGCGACCTGCAGTTTCTCAAGTCGCTCTTGACACACACACACACACACACACACACACACATACACACACAACTATTTACAAGGCTTGATTTCTCTTCCAGATGTTGTGGTATCAGGGCTCACCCTCCATTCAGTTCTATAACCACATCATGGCTAGAAGCAAATAGGATGGATTAAGTGTTTCTAATCTCATCTCCTTAAATAAAGTGGAAAGAATAAATCCTTCCTCTCATTTTATCTTGAACCAATTCTTTTGTTAAGATTTCGCTCTTAGTTTTCAAACAGGAAAATATTGTCTTCTTATTGTCCCCCTTTCAACTCAAGCTCTGTTTTGGAGTCTTTAAGTGGACGCATTCAGGGTAATATTTTTATCTATATAAATAGAATATTGTGAAAAGCAAATTTTCTGAAAACAGTTCTCTGTCAATCTTTTAATCCACAGTGAAATAAGAAGAAAGCCAGAGAAGCAGGAATGCAAGGAAGAAACTAGTGAGTATTTACATGTTTCTTTCCCCAAACACTACATTCATACAACCCAGCAATTGAATTATTTTCAGGGTTTTTTTTGGGGGGGGGGGGTGTCTATATTTACAACAAAATGAAAACCAACTCAACGAGAATGTGTTTATACGGCCCTTTTCTATCCACAATGGATACCAAAATCTCTGGATGCGCATGCCTCATTAAATATAATGGCATAGTGAAATAGTGTCCCTTATATAAAGTGGAAAAATCAAGATTTGCATCTTAGCCATTATACCATCAAGTTATCATGCATTGAAAAGTAGTTGCTGACCAGGTGCCACTTTTGTTTCATGTCAAAAGCATTGCATAAATAAGTAAAAAAACTGATAAAATAAAGGGAGCATGAACAGCTAAATAATTTTAGACTGGGCAACAGTGTCCACGTTGTCTGTAGCTTTCAGCAGTTCTTCCTCTGTGCATGAGGTAGGGCACTGTGGACAAGCATACAGATGTGGAGTTGTTTGTTCTGCTCCACAGTTGCACAAGGTGGAGGATTCTTCTAGGTAGTGCCATTTTGTCAGGACGTCTTTTGATCTGTCAACTCCACTTCTGAGTCTGTTCAGGGACTTCAAAGTTGCCCATTCTTGGTTTGCCCCTGGAGGAAGGCCCTCGTTGGGGGCCATCCAGTTGGAATTGCCTGATTGTGCTGCCCAGATGGATATTCTTGCTTTTGCTGGAGGAACATTTATAGAAGTGGTGGTTCTCATGAAACTTTTCCTTGATTTAAGTCTACTGGGAGGAGACTGATAGCCATGCAGTGGGTGGCTTTCACAGTATTCAACCTTGTTTCATTTGCAATTGGCAGCAACTTCCCAGTGTACATGGGGGGGGGAGCATTGCCAGCTAGCTTATAAAGACTATCAACAGATGTAGGTTTAGGACATCCTGTGATTATTCTACAGGTGCTGCTAAAACTACCCCACACTTCATTACATGTAGTGTGCCCTATCAAATTTCTTATGCCTTCATTTCATTTTAGGTTCAGAAGGACCTCCAAAGAGAAGAGAAGAGGAAGAACCCAGAACTAGTGAAGACTATACATCCAGAGAGGTAACCTCTTACTGGCCTGTTTCCACTATCCACCCATTTACATTGTCATATAATGCCATTTCCAATTCATTATAGGGTCAATATAGATTCATATAATGCAGTTTATATGGCTTACTTACATCATCATCATCATCATCGTCGTCATCATCATCTTTAATTATTTATTAATTGCCCTCCATCTGAGATGCTCGAGGCGATTTACATAGCAGAAATTATACAGGATGAAACACATATATACAACTATTAAAATTAACATGGGTCAAATGCTCTAGTAAAAAGCCAGGTCTTAAGTGCTAGGATAAAATACCCTAAGTCACGCATGACTCTCAAATAGGGAGGCAAGGAATTCCATAAGGCAGGGGCAGAAATAGAGAAGGCCCTGCATCTGCTGTTTTCCAAGTGCATTTCCCTAGGACACGGTAAATAGAGCAAATCGCGTTGGGATGGTTGTGGCGACTTCTGATGATGGTAGAAGGAGAGACGGTCTCTAAGATACAATGGACCCTGGCCATATAAAAAATACTTACTTAGGCAATCCTTCATAGCTCGAGGATGATTGTCTTCCAGATGTGGTGTATTGGTGGTGAGTCCATAGGTGGCTGTGGAGCCCTATTCTTGATCTGCATGTTTTCCCGCAGTGAGGATATTGTTTTCCAGCTGGAAGGCAGTCCTACTCAGGATTGGCTTGATGTGCCTTCCTCTTGGCACGTTTCTCCCTTTCTCCATTCATGCCTCTTCGAATTCTGCAGCACTGCTGGTCACAGCTGACCTCCAGTTATATGCTATGATAATGTCGTCTGTGAACATTCAGAAGAAGACCTACAAGCCACTCTAAACACCCTCGCAGAATCATACAAGAAGCTTGACCTCTCATTGAACATCAAGAAAACCAAAGTGCTCTTCCAGCAGTCACCAGCCAATCCCTCTCTAATGCCAGAAATACAGCTTAATGGTGTAACATTAGCAAACATTGACCATTTCCACCACCTTGGCAGCCACCTCTCCACAAAAGTCAACACTGACACCGAAATGCAACACCACCTGAGTGCAGCATTTTTCCGAATGAAGCAGAGAGTGTTTGAGGACCGGGACATCCATAGGGAGACCAAGGTGCTTGTCTATAAAGCCGTGGTCCTCCCAAACCTGCTATATGCCTGTGAAATGTGGACTGTCTACAGATGTCACACTCAACTCCTGGAATGACTCCATCAGCACTGCCTCTGAAAAATCCTGCAAGTCTCTTGGGAGGACAGGCAGGCAAATGTCAGCGTGCTGGAAGAAGCAAAAACCACCAGCATTGAAGCGATGCTCCTCCACCATCAACTCCACTGGACTGGCCACATTGTCCGAATGCCTGATCACTGTCTCCCAAAGCAGTTACACTACTCCAAACTCAAGAATGGAAAACAGAATGTTGGAGGACAGAAAAAGAGATTTAAAGATGGGCTCAAAGCCAACCTTAAAATCTCTGGCATAGACACTGAGAACTGGGAAGCCCTGGCCCTTGAGCGCTCTAACCAGTTTATATGGCAGTGTAGAAGGGACCCCACTGTGTGGCCTTGGACAAGTTGCATTCTTTCTTCCTCAGAGGAAGGCAACGGTAAACTCCCTCTGACTAATGATAGGTTTGGCTTAGGGTCTTTTTACATCAGAAAAAGGCTTGGAATTCACAAACAACTACAAACTTGTATTTAACCCCACTCTGGCCCAAGTTTTCACCTGAAAACCACAATATACCTTTGCATATTGCACAAATCAGTGATATGCTGGGCCACATCAAGCTGTGAGACTAGAGATATATGTAGCACAAGTATGTTCTCCATGTTCTCTAAGTATACTAGATACAAGCTCCCAGAATCCAACTGCTACAGTTCAATATATGTGTCCTCTATGGCACTCTGGAATGTGGCAAGAATAGCTCTTCAGAATCTACCAATAGCTCATTATGGGGCCAATAAGTAGGAATTGGTGGAAAAGTACAATTCATTACTTCATGGAGAGGGATGAATTTTTTTAGTAACAGATTTTTTTTAGTAATAGATAATGGCCTATGTCAATATAACTTGTTAATTTACAAAATTGAAGCTAAGCCTGACTATTATTTTCAGTTAGAGTAGATGGACACTTAGCAGGTAAATACTTAAGTAAATTCCATTCATTTCGTGGATATTGTCTATCTGGAGTTAGGCCATGTGTTAATGCTTAGCATAACAAGCTAATCTTATACATTTCCCATAATGAAATAAATAATAATAATAATAATAATAATAATAATAATAATAATACTTTATTTATAGGCTGCTCTATCTCCCCGAGGGGGGACTTAGGGTGGCTTCCAAGAAAAAAAGGCAAACATTCAGTGTCTTGGTGATGAGCAAACACAATCAAAAACAATATTTATTTAATTATTTATTTATTATTTACCACATTTGTATACCGCCTTTCTCAGTCCATAGGCGACTCAAGGCGGTTCACAGTCAGCAACAATTCAATGCCTCAACCATTATAAAAATACTGTTAAAACAATTATAAAATTTAATTAAAGCATTTAGCATATAGTGTAAAAACCATAAAAAGCCCTAAAAACATAGTCATCAATGTCTCCTTACTAAAATTGTTATCCAATTGCATCATCAAGTCGCTCAGTAATTTCATATTTACCTGATTATGCTGCATTAGCAAAAGCTCGCTCGAAGAGCCAGGTTTTAACCTTTTTATGAAAGTAACGTCATTATAAACTTATAAATTATTAACAACAGACTAATTTTCACAAAAGGGTTGAAGATCAGTATGTTGTCAGGTATGCAAATGTTTCAAAGTTCTAGTTCAGAGGTAAAATTAAATGATTTTCCTCCTGGGAGAGAGCTTAAAAGGAAAACATCTCCACAGCCCCAAGAGTATGTCTTCTGACTGTTTCTTCTTCTTCTTCTTTGATGCCATCTAGGGAGCAGTGGAAGGTCTCCAATACTCAACTCTAGAGTTCAAAGAGGCTGGCCAGCAACAAATCAAGATAAGCAATGAGATCTCTTCTGTTATATATGCCCAGATGCCCACAGGCCACTGATCCAAAACAGTTGGCTAGTTTGCTTTGATCAAGTCATGGATGGACATTTATCTCAGAGGGGAAAAGGGAAAACAATTAATGTGTGTATTTTACTTTTAATGTCGTAATCACTTGAGATGGCAGGTGCGAAGTCTGCACGCACCAGCTGTACAATTGTGCCAATTGTGAAGGTGCTATTCCAACAATAGGCAGGGTATAGGGTTTTTAACTTTAAAGAACCCACCCGCTGTCACCAATTGCACAGACTGTTCTTAAATTCTGCCACCAATTATACAGGTGTGGATGATTATGGATGTAATTAATCTCAGGCCTCAATTGTTGATAAGAATTTGTTATAGGGGAGGCCAATTATTACTTGTAAATTAAGGTAACTGCCACCAACGTGAGGTATTGCCGATGAGATCTGGCTCCCCAGACGCAGATTAATGGAGATGACACGGTCTTCAACAAAAGTTAATAAGTTTATTATGTACAAAGCGTATGGTTGCAGGCTGTTAAATAACTTGGAATAACTTATAGAACTTTGAATGTAACTTGGTTTGCAATACAGTTCACTCTTCTAGATGACACAACTTGTGATTGACTTTTACTGAGGTGAAGCACTTTATTAAACAATGTTTCCTAATGTGAATAGCCTCCCAATTTGATCTTTTCTTGATCAAATCCCAGATCCCAGTATTTATATTCCGCCCTTCTCACCCCAAAGGGGACTCAGAGTGCATAACAGAACATATATACAGCAAACATTCAACTGTACATAGATAGAGGTGTGTGTGTATATACATATACATGTGTGTGTGTGTGTGTGTGTGTGTGTGTGTATATATATATATATATCGGCTTTCCCATGTTTGGCATCTTGGAGGCTATGCTTCGTTCCAGCCATGGTGTATGTGTGTATGCTGTCACTTCACTTTCCGTGCCGAAGAACTTTGTTTGTAAACGTCCTTCTTGATCAAATCGCTGGCATCTTTCTGGCATTTCCTTATGGGTGCCTTAAATGCCTCCCCGCTTAAATTGTACCTATTTATCTAGTCACATTGATATCCCATTGCCACAACAGTAACACAATTTCTTTGCCAGAATTTGGGGTACAGAAATATCTAGGGATAATCACATATATACGTGGCACATTGATGAGGTTTCCAATCAATAGCATGGGACAGGTTTGTCACAGACCGACAACGGGCACCACCTGACATCAGTAGAATCTGTAAATTAGAGACTAACTATGTAAGGATGTCTTGCCCTGAATATTCGTTGGCCTTACTGAAAAGAAACTAACAATGGTACCTGTCAGGAGATGGAAGCAATGGTTTCCAACATATTGCAAGGAATACACCAAGGAAATCAGGCAGAAGAGCAGAATTATACATATTACATATTGAGTCATTGTGTTTGAGCCTTAACATGGCAGTGAGAAATAACAAAAATGGCATCAGACTATAACTGCATACACGGTTGTGCTGTCGGGAGTTCGAACATTGGCAGATTTCCTTCGGGGATGTTGTAGCTGGGCGTAATGAAGAGAAGCATGTGTCTAGAAGGAAAAACCACCAAGAGAAAATGCATTGATAATCTTCAACCCATAGTACGCATTAGACCTAGATTGGAAACTTTCTTTAGATTAGAGTTCCCAACATTCCTCACACAGCAGGGCCATATAGTTGGGATTCTGGGAACTGTGGTCCTGGTCTTATTTTGTTCTATCCATGAGATCCAAAATTTGCCCAATCAATATTTACCTCATCCAGGCTCTCCCTTTTCATTATGTCCTCCTCCCTTCTGGTGGCATTTCTCAGGGAAGCATGATCTTCAAGTCATGAAATCATAATTAAGGGAAGGAAAATAAAAATAGCAAGTGAAAATTACGTACTGTCCAGTTAATGGGAAATAAATGAAACACCTATGAGAAATGGTAATGAAGAGCAACAGCATTGGGGCCAATCTGAAAATGCCACCATAGCCTGCAAAAATCACAGATTCCAGCAGAATCATTCACTAGAAGTCTAGGATATGGTTAAAAAGGTGTAAGTTTCCCCTTGACATTAAGCCTAGTCATGTCCAACTGCACCTTGTGGTGCCAGAGCGCAGTCTTTTCGCCGTCTCTCAAGTTGTTGAGTCTTCTGTGTGTCCAGGAGGAAGTTTCTCATTCAGTTTGGCTTGAGGTTGTGAGTTTTAGCCTGCCACTTTTGGACTTGTGCTTGCTGAGATGTTCCTGCGAGTATCTCTGTCACACCAGAAGCAACCAGAAATTGTTCCTATTGATCTACTCACATTTGCATGTTTTCAAACTGCTAGGTTGGCAGAAGCTGGGGCTAACAGCAGGAGCTCAACCTGATCCCTGGATATGAACCACTGATGTTTTGGTCAGCAAGTTCAGCAGCATAGCAGTTTAACCTGCTCTGCCACTGGGGGCTATAGGATATGGTTAGATTCTATTAAAATGTGGGTGAAGAACGGACTAGCAGAAGCACATAAGTGAAAAAGGGAAGGTTTCTCATTCAATTCCTCACCTGTTGACTCTCTGTTTTCTCTCTTTCGCCTAGAAAGGAATGACAAGAGTTTTAGGATAATGCAACAGGTGACAAATGATGCAGAAATTGTGAAATTGTGAAACTGACCACAGAAATGTCACTTAAATGATGACAATTATTTCATGCCCTCCTGCATGTCTAGCCCAAAATATTTTACTGCCTGAAGCAAAGGTGGACAACATTATGGTAGTCCAGACTAATCCTGCTTCTGTTCCATACACTGGATCTTTATGGACTGTCTGTTCAACGTTACTTTGGCATTGGCAATGGGATACAAGCCTCCATCATGTTTGATGGGAAAAGGCAAATTTTGGGAAGTGCTATTTGTGGCAGTGGTTTGCTGGCATTTGAGTCACTGGCTGCCCATCCCTGAATCTTCCAGGAAAGTTGCAGTCAATGGGCACGAATATGGAGCCAGTGCCTGACACATTTGGCAACCAGATAATGTAAGAATTTAGGGTGTACAGAACAACGTTACACACTCCCCATGTTTTGAGAGAATGAAACTACTGAGGAGGCTTGTGTGAAGGAACCGAGGCCTGTCAATGAATTCCTGGCACGACAGCCGTACGTGTGAAAAAGATGTTGGGGTTCTTGTGGACAACAAGTCAAACATGAGCCAACAATGTGATGCGGCGGCAAAAAAGACCAATAAGATTTTGGCCTGCATAAACAGGAGTCTAGTGTCTGGATCCAGGGAAGTCATACTAACCCTCTGTTCTGTCTTTGTCAGACCATACCTGGAATACTGTGTCCAATTCTGGGTACTGCAGTTGAAGGGAGATGTTGACTCTAAGCTGAATGTGTCCAGAGGAGGGTGAGTAATATCATCAAGGATCTGGAGAACAAGCCCTATGAGGAGCAGCTTAAAGAGCTGGGCATGTTTACTCTGCAGAAGAGAAGTCTGACAGGAGACATTATGAGGGTCATGTGTAAATATGTAGGGGGAAGTCATAGGGAGGAGGAAGCAAGCTTATTTTCTGATGCCCTGGAGACTAGGACAGGGAACAATGGCTTCAAACTGCAGTAAAGGAGATTCCACCTCAACATGAGGAAGAACTTCCTGACTGTGAGAGCTATTCTTCAAAGCGGGGAGGCGATAGTGGCAAGAGAAGAAGGAGAGTAAAGACAGAGCCCCTTCTGGGATAAGCATGCATAGTAATGTGGGGGGGGGGGGGATCCCTCACTCTAATCCTATCTAGTCTAGCTTCTCATTGAGGCCTGGAGACTTGTGTAGTCAGGGATGAAACTCAGCACTTCCCAAAGGAAGGCATGGGGAAACTTCCTTTAACTATTCCATCAGTTTCCCCACTCACAAGCTCTTTTGCCAAGCCCTTGGCTCACCTGTCCACCAGCACTTTCTTCCTGAGCCACACAGCACCTCCAACAACAGCTGGGACCATCACCAACACAGCCAACACAGCCCAAAACCAAACTGAAGTCCCATTGGGGGTGTGCCCTGTGAGTGTGGTTTCTGTAGCAACAGGAGGAATTGTCCAATGAGATGCTGCCAAAGAAGTGGGTTTTGCGGAAAATCCTTTATTAAAAAAACACATTTTTATACATTGTGTTGTATTTATCTTTATCTATAGATAAACAAATACATCTAACACAAACTAATACATTGCAATATTCTATCCAGTCTTTCCCCTCCTGTCCTGCGCTCGTGATCTCACCACCCATGACTTCTGACACTACTCATTGTGAGTGACGTATCTTATAAAATCTACCCTTTTATCTACTTTGGTAAATTCCCCTTCCCTTTGCACGGAGGCAGTATTGGAGCAGCAGCAATATTGGGAAGCATCAGTGCGTTCTCCCCATGCATTTTCAAACTTAAAATGCAAAGCAGCACCAAGGACAGACACAATTTTGTCTGATGGGTGCAAGCCAAGCACGCTATTATCCTGCTGTAATTCCAATTTTCCATCCTCACGTGATAAAGTCCTAAAAGCATCTACCAAGAATGCATTTTTAACACTTAACGTTTTTCCCCCATTCTAACACTTGAAAGGTCTTCTTTCCTTTCAGAGTGACTAAAAGGAAAGTGGGAGGAGTGGGAGGATGCTCCGAGCTTTGCTTTCTCTTCTAAAAGCACTTTGGGGAATTGGGTGAAAAACAAAAATGTTTCCAAATGTGCTTTTCCCAACTAACACAACTCTGGGAGCATAACACAGAAAGTAGAAAGGAGTAATACTCTAGTATGCCCATAACTGAACACAGGCCCTGGCAGAGAAGGTGATATACTATCTTCTGAGATGTTTTGCATCATGGAATTGAACTAAACTTGGCACACAGAACTCCCATGACCAACAGAATATAATGGAAGTGTTTTGTGGGCACTGACCTTGAGTTTTGGAGTTGTAGTCCACCCATATTCAGAGAGCACCGTGGACTCAAACAATGATGGATCTAGACCAAACTTGGCAAAAATATTCAATATGCCCAAATGTGAACACTGGTGGAGTTTGGGGAAAATAGACCTTGACATTTGGGAGTTGTAGTTGCTGGGATTTATAGTTCACTACAATCAAAGAGCATTCTGAATCCCCACCAATAGAATGGGCCAAGCTTCCCACACAGACCCCCATGACCAACAGAAAATACTGTTTTCTGATGGTGTTTGCAACCCCTCTGACATCCCCATTGACCCCCCCCCAGGGGCCCTGACCCCCAGGTTGAGAAGCTAGTTTAGAGGGTGAAGTGTATGATACTGGCTTTCTTTGTGACTAGATTGGAATAGACAAAACAAAGGTCATCTATCTTTTCCTTCCCTTTCCTTCCCCCCCCCCTTTTTTAAAAAGAAGGGTAAATAAAAAAAGAAGGTGTGCTAATGTGGGCACCACAATTGAAGGGAGATGTTGACAAGCTGGAATGTGTCCAGAGGAGGGTGACTAAAATGATCAAGGGTCTGGAGAACAAGCCCTATGAGGAGTGGCTTAAAGAGCTGGGCATGTTTAGCCTGAAGAAGAGAAGGCTGAGAGGAGAAATAATGGGGGCCATGAATAAATATGTGAGAGGAAGTCATAGGGAGGAGGGAACAAGCTTGTTTTCTGCTTCCTTGGAGATGAGGACTTGAAACAATGGCTTCAAACTACAGAAAGGAGGTTCCACCTGAACATTAGGAAGAATTTCCTGACTGTGAGAGCTGTTCAGCAGCTCCAGAGTGTGGTGGAAGCTCCTTCTTTGGAGGCTTTTAAACAGAGGCTAGATGATCATCTGTCGGGGGTGCTTTGAATGCACTTTTCCTGCTTCTTGGCAGGGGGTTGGATTGAGTGGCCCACAAGGTTTCTTCCAACTCTATGATTCTATGATTCTATGAAAGTTACATGGAAATGAAGTGTGTATTACTATGAGCATCAACGGGAACGAAGTATAAATATAAATATGTATAAATATGTGAGAGGAAGTCACAGGGAGGAGGGAGCAAGCTTGTTTTCTGCTTCCCTGGAGGCTAGGACATGGAACAATGGCTTCAAACTACAAGAAAGGAGATTCCATCTGAACATTAGGAAGAACTTCCTGTGAGAGCTGTTCAACAGTGGAACTCTCTGGCCTGGAGTGTGGTGGAGGCTCCTTCTTTGGAAGCTTTTAAACAGAGGCTGGATGGCCATCTGTCAGGGGTGCTTTGAATGCAATATTCCTGCTTCTTGGCAGGGGGTTGGACTGGATGGCCCATGAGGTCTCTTCCAACTCTATGATTCTATGAAGTGTAAGCAAGATGTTGTAATGTTGAAACAATAAAAAGAAAAAAAAGAGGGACAAGGAAAAGGGAGAAAGAAGTGGTATCACCCAAGCACTTGATTCATTTGATAAGCCAAAGTTGGGCAGATTGGCTCTGGGCAGCTTGCCTTCCAATTCTTACCTGTCAAACTTGACAAAACTTTGGGTATTTTATATATGATATTAGGTTGCAAAAAAATAAACACATATCTCACTGTAGTCTTCATATGTTTCTCATGTCTGAAAATTATACATGGTATTTAATTCTTGCTATACATGTTCTCCTGAGCACTGTCATCTTCTTTCCTCATCTGAAGTCTATCTGAATGCCTTTAACGGTGAGAGCTGTTCAGCAGTGGAACTCTCTGCCCCGGAGTGTGGTGGAGGCTCCTTCTTTGGAAGCTTTTAAACAGAGGCTGGATGGTCATCTGTCAGGGGTGATTTGAATGCAATATTCCTGCTTCTTGGCAGGGGGTTGGACTGGATGGCCAATGAGGCCTCTTCCAAGTCTTTGATACTATGATTCTAACGAGTGGTGGCACATGGCTTCCAATTCATCAAGACTGAGAATCCATTCTGGGTATTGATGAACATTCAAGGAGTTATCCAATTCAGCACCCTGGATAGCTCATTCAGCCCCAAATCCAGAATGGATTTGCAGCTCACTGACAGAGAAGCCACTGACAGCGCTTGCCTTTACCTGAAGCCTGACAGTCAGAAAATTGGCAAATGAAACTTCTCTTTGCGTAAAGAGGTAAGCCACAAGCAGCGTTTCCGGTTTTTACTTTCCGTAAATTATTTAGAAAATCTATCTCGAAATACCACTATATGTTCAGCAAAGCTATATTTAACATAATTCCATCTGTCATATTAGTAGATCAGTTCCAGCAAATTGAATATCAAATAAATGCATTTGCCTTGGCAGGATGGGATTATTAGAGTCTGTGTCTCATGTTCTTTTCCCTTGCACTTTCCATAAGGATGATAGATCAGGGTTAATAACATCACTACTATATATATTTCCAGGAAACTCTTGTACTTGTCCCTGAGCTATTTGTTAAAAGATACTGGAAAAAGGGCAACAGAAGTGTTGCAAAGTTTTTCATTCCCACCATTAAAACTCATACAGTGCTACACAGTTAATAATAATACTGAGAGTTGCTTATGGTCTAACAATATTTGATTTGTTGTCAAAGGTTTTCATGGCCAGAATCAACCCATATAACCCATACTATACCATACCATATTGACTTGAGGTTAACATTGAAATGCTATAATTAAAAGATATTAAGACAAATAAAGACAAGTCTAATTTAATGTAGCACAGGGTTGCTGTGAGTTTTCTGGGATGTATGGCCATGTTCCAGAAGCACTCTCTCCTGACCTTTCATCTACATCTATGGCAGGCATCCTCAGAGTTTGTGAGGTCTGTTGGAAATAGGCAAGTGGGGGTTTATATATCTTTGGTGGGACAAACAATCAGGGCCAGCTAACACCTCCCAACAAAGGATTCCCCCAGGCAGGAAGCAGGCAGGCTTTGAAGCTGCAAGGCCATTTAATGCTAATCAAGGTGGCAACATTCACACTTGCCTCAAGCAGACAAGAGTCTTTTCTCCCAGCCTGGACTTTCCACAGATATATACACCCCACTTGCCTAGTTTCCAACAGAACTCACAACCTTGCCCTAGATGTGGGTGAAATGTCAGGAGAGAATGCTTCTGGAACATGGTTAGATGGCCCAGAAAACTCACAGCACCCCAATATTTGATTCTTTAAACAAATTGACTTTTTTTTTGTAGAACAAGAGGGTTACTTATAAAGCAAAAATTGGAATTTGTTTTTAATTTGGTGTTGCTTTTATAGCATTTAGAGACAGGGTACCCTGCCTTATATTTGACCAATTCTAGCCCCAGGAGCAGCCACACATATAGAGAACATGCAGATACACCTGATTCCCTGCCTTTCACCCTTTTCATCTGGAAAAGAATGAATTAAAGCATTTTGAAATGTCACAGTAAGGATAAAAGTACAGTACGAATGCACCCTGTTAAAAGACCCATCTGCAGCAAGCAGTTAATCACCAAAAGCCAGTCTATTAGGGCTGGGCGGTTTCGTTTCGTTAATTCGTAATTCGTTAATAATTCGTTATTTTTTTCAATTACAAAACGATAACGAACCATTCTGGAGCAATTTTAAAAAAACGAATTTTTAAACACGTTTTGTAAATGCTTCGTATTTCGTTATTGTATTCGTTTCGTTATTGTTCTGAGGTCGTTTCGTTATTATTTCCGCATGTCTGGGGCAAGTTTTTTGTTTAATTAGTGAAAAAAAATTATAATATCACACCAACAGTCAACAACAGAGGGAGAGGGAAGCTTCAGAAGTTTTTGGAGGTTTTTTAGCGTATTTCGCGGTCGCGTCTGCCATTAACGAATCGATTCGTTATTGTTTCGGAAATCGATTCGTTAATGTTTTGTAATTTTTTTCACATTTACGAAATTTCGTAAATATCGAACTTTTTAAAAGGAAAATTTTGTAATTATTTTAAATAACGAAACGCAAAACCCCCCAAAAAACGAATCGATTTTAGAAACAAATTTTTCCGTTGTTACCCAGGCTTACAGTCTATATAAAAAAGTCCTTGGCTCCCAGCAGGAGGAGAACAGAAAATGGCTCGCCTAAGCTGGATCTGCACTGTCATATAATGCAGTTATAGAAGGCACATTAACTGCACTGAACTGTATTATGTGAGTTGACGCTGCCACACAATCCAATGTAGTTAATCTGCATTCTGAAACTGCACTACATGGTACTGTAGATCTAGCTCTAGTCTCTCAGGGCAAAGTTACATGTTTCCTCACTGTGGTGAGTTTCTTCCCCTGGGGATCTTAAAATGCAAGCAAGTTCATATCAGGAAATATGGGGATCATCTACACAGTAGATGTAATGCAGTTTGCCACTACTTTAACTGCCATGGCTCAGTGCTATGGAATCATGTGTGCTGCAGTTTGGTGAGGCAGAGAAGGATTAAGGCAGTGATGTTTTGGCCTACAACTCCCATAAATCCCAGCTACTTTACCAGCTGTTTGGATACCCTGTTTGGATATCAACCAGCATTCCAATGACTTAAATCAAGAAATAGTATTCTAAGATTTACAGAGACACCCGCTGGAACATCTCAGCAAGCAAGAGTCCAAAAGTGGCAGGCTCAAACCCAGAAGCTCAATCTATGGCTGATACCAAATGAGAGACTCCCTCCTGGGCATACGGAAAACTGGGCGAATTGGAAGGCGCTGAACAGATTGCGCTCTGGCACCACGGGATGCAGAGCCAACCTTAAGAAATGGGGCTACAAAGTGGAACCCATGACATGCAAGTGTGGAGAAGAGCAAACCATAGACCACCTATTACAATGTTGTCTGAGCCGTGCCACGTGCACATTGGAGGACCTCCTTATAGCAACACCAGAGGCACTCCAAGTGACCAACTACTAGTCAAAGGACATTTAATAGAATGCCAAGTTTTCAATCTTTGTGCTTTTTAAAATACAATACAACTGTTTGGTTCGCTCCTGATACGATAGATAAATAAATAAATGAACAAACAAATAAATGCCAGCTTTTGGGATTTCTGGGAGTTAAAGGCCTAAACATCTGGGGGCCCACAGGTTGAGAATCACTGGCTTAAGGTGTAGCTGGGGTGGGAAACAAGCTTCCTTGCAAATGTTGTTGGGCTTCGTCTCCCAGCAACCCTTCCATTGGCAATGCTGACTACGGCTGCTGGGAGATGTGGACCAAATGTGTCCAGAAATCCATATGATCCTCCCTCCTACACTCCAGGGATCCTACCTTGCTCTTCTTTGGATGGGCTCAAGCAAATCTCTGAGATCCAAAAGGGATTGGCACGGGACTGACACTCCCAGCGTCCCAAAGCCGCTTTTTGGATTGGATCTATTATTATAGTAGCTCCCAAATTGCTCTTCTTAGCCCATTGGCGGTTACCGAGTCGCTTCGAATTCAATATCCATTGAAAAGAGTTTCCTGTATCTGGTGAATAGCAGTGACGGCAGCTGAGTTGCATAGAGGACGGACCCAGCTGCTTGGAGGAGACAAGGAGATTGTTGTGGCACCCTGAAAAGAGAAGAGGAAAAAGAAGGGAAATGGAACACCTCAGGTATGAAATGAGAAAGTACATACATACTCCTTCAGTAGTAAGGTCCGTGCCACAGAATTATTTGTCAAAAATAACTACAATAACCATGAGCCACCATTTTAATTCTCACACAGTGTTAGGTCATATAAAAGTAGATTTTCCATAAAAGTGTCTTAAATCTTCTAAGCCGCAGTGGTTCTCAACTTGTGGGTCCCCAGATATTTTGACCTTCAACTCCCAGAGATCCTAACAGCTGGTAAACTGGCTGGGATTTCTGGGAGTTGTAGGCCAAAACAAAGACCTTCAGTTTGTTAAAGACCACAGCTTGCTAACATGGATCTTGTTTTCCATACTAACCTTTCTATGGCATTATTGGAAGTCACAGCCTTTCCTGCAAGTTGGACACACATGAAGACTTATATTTGGGGACTATGAAGGTTTCAAGGGAGTGTATATCTTTTTGGGCAACTGAAAATTCATCTTCAAAGAAACAACCATCCTCTCTCCTATTTTTGTAGTGGCATGCCTTTATCCTTGGCAGTTTAAAGACATTGTTCTTCAGTTTAACAGCTAAGTTACCTGTGTGCCATTACACAAATGCTTATGAATATCACTTGTTCAAAGGGTTGATTTCTAACAAGGTCATGCTTTTCTTGACTAGTGGTTTTCAAAAGTGGTCTCCACATGTGACATCATTTTTAATGGGTTGTTGTAGGTTTTTCCGGGCTATATGGCCATGTTCTGGAGGCAATTTTTCTCCTGACGTTTCGCCTGCATCTATGGCAAGCATCCTCAGAGGTAGTGAGGCCTGTTGGAAGTAGGAAAAATGGGTTTATATATCTGTGGAATGACCAGGGTGAGACAAAGGACTTTGTCAGGAGAAAAATTGCCTCCAGAACATGGCCATATAGCCTGGAAAAACCTACAACAACCCAGTGATTCCGGCCATGAAAGCCTTCAACAATACATCATTTTTAATGTTTCAATAAGGTTATGGTGTAGTTATTTCCAATACATTATGGAATTCCCAATAGGTTATGGTACATGGGGATTTCTTTCATGCTCCGTGCCACTGCTGGGAGTTGTAGTCCAAAGAAGTAAGATTTCTTAAGTCTATAATGGGTGTTGACACCTGGCCTGAGGAACAAAATATCTCATCTGAGAAGGATTGTCAGAGCTCCTCCTCAGAGTACTTAAAAAATAACTGCTTCCCAGTGTCTGGATGATTTCCAACAATGATGTGAGAACAAAACAGAATGTAATAAATGCAGGCAAAAAAGGCAGTTGATAATGACAACCAACCTACAAGGAAAATTAAATGTAAAAGCAACTGTCAACATGAGAAAGGTATGCCTTGGAGTGATATTTCTAAAAAATGTTAAAAAGGGAAAAACACTTGCACACAATTTTGGTTAGTGGGATTTATGCCTTAGTTTCAGGTATGTGGTTTTAAAATTGTTTTAATTTGTGTTCATGATTATAAAGTTTAATATCCTTTTGGGTTGTTTCATTGTTTCTTTTTAAAATCTCGCTCGACTTTGTTTTAACGTGATTTTAGTGGTGCGAGATCTTGTGATATCTACCATGGTACAAATATTTTGAAGTGTGGGGCTGGAGAAGAATTCTTCAAAAACTGTGGACTTTGAAAAGTCCAAAAAATGGGTCCAGCAACAAATTAAGCCTGAACTCATGTTGGAGGCCAAGAAAACTAAACTGAGACTCCTGCACTTTAGGAATATGAGTAAACCTAGGAAAATACTTGGAAAAGTAGAACCCGGTAGGAAAAGAGGAAGAACATATTACAGGTGGATTATAGAATCATAGAATTATAGAGTTGGAAGAGACCTCGTAGGCTATCCTGTCCAAACCCCTGTCAAGAAGCAGGAAAATCACATTCAAAGCATCCCCGACAGATGGCCATCCAGCCTCTGTTTAAAAGCCTCCAAAGAAGGAGCCTCCACCACACTTTGGGGCAGAGAGTTCCACTGCTGAACAGCTCTCACCATCACAAAGTTCTTCCTAATGTTCAAGTGGAATCTCCTTTCTTGTAGTTTGGAGCCATTGTGCAGTGTCCTAGTCTCCAGGGCAGCAGAAAACAAGCTTGTTCCCTCCTCCCTATGACTTCCCCTCATATATTTATACATGGCCCCCATCATGTCTCCTCTCAGCCTTCTCTTCTTCAGGCTAAACATGCCCAGCTCTTTAAGCCGTTCCTTCTATAGCTTGTTCTCCAGATCCTTGATCATTTGAGTCGCTCTCCTCTGGACACATACCAGCTTGTCAATATCTTTCTTCAATTGTGGTGCCCAGAATTGGACACAGTATTCCAGATGTTGTCTGACCAAGGCAGAATAGAGGGGTAGCATGACTTCCCTGGATCTAGACACTAGACTCCTATTTACGCAAGCCAAAATCCAGTTGGCTTTTTTTTTTTTGCAACCACAGGATATTCATTCAGTTAAGGAAGTCATGACCCTGAGTTGGCAAGATTTGAGCAGGGTAATTGGTGTCAGGTAGCTCTTGAAGGTCTCTCAGCCATAAGGTTGCTATAAGCTGAAGTGGACTTGATGGCAAATATATTAAAGAATCAATACATTTCAGGACCAAGAAGAAGGGACTGGTTCAAATTACTACACTGCTTCAACCTGCAATGCTTCTTATTTCTTTTCCCTGTGAGTACAAAGAGCAGAGTTTGAGACAGATTGGTAGCGAACCTAACTTATGTTCTCCAGGTGATTTATGTTAGTCCTAACTAGAGTAGACTCACTGGATCATGGAGGTTTACCTGTGTGTTGACTTGTCATTCAAGAGTTGATCCTGGAGATTTACTCTCATAGGTATTCACTAGTAATATTCAGGTTTTGCATTTCAAGACTCATAGTCCATAGCCCTGAACTCTGCTGTTTTGGGCAGAGAGTCAGTATATAGACCTGGGTTAGATTTTCTAACTGGTGAACGGTTTGGTGTTCACCTGAAGATATTTATTTGTTTATACAGTGTGTGACACTGTATCTTGTTTCCATCTATTTCTCTTCAATGAAACAATACTCTGCACCTTTGGAGACGTAGGGCCCTTCCACACAGCCCTATATGCCTGAATATCAAGCCAGAAAATCCCACATAGTGTGGACTCAGATAATCCATTTCAAAACAGATATTGGGGGGTTTTCTGCCTTGATATTCTGGGATATAGGGCTGTGTGGAAGGGCCTGTAGTTTTACTTCATGGTGTCCTTTGAACCCAAGTAATACAGGTCCTGGGATGATCAAGCCTTCCAGATCAAAACATGGCCTTCAGACCATTTTCAGTATTGACATGGTTGCTGACAAGCATTTTAACTAAAGCAAGTGTGGGATGCAAATGCTGTCGCGTTTCCTTCCTCTCTTCCTCTCCCTTTCCCACTTGCTGATGCCTTCTCCTCAGGCAGCTCCATCTGGGGAAAACAGATAAATGACTAATCTCAGACCCTTGGCTGCAGGGCACTTGGTTAATTTTTCTCCGGCTGAAGCATGGAAGAGAGCTGACAAGCGGCATATGTTCAGAGGAGGATTGTGAAGTTGCCGGGTGTGGGCCTTCTTTATTTTTATCCATCTCGGAAGGGAGATCCGGCTCTATCATTAGGCAGAAGGATCTGAGGCAGATTATTTGAAATGTCATCTAAGGCACCATGTGATTTAATTAGTTCTTGTTTTTGTAATGACTGGTGTACAGAAAATATATTTATATGATATTCTTCTTTAGATGCTACACACATCGATTTGCCTGCATTCTGGGCACATTTTATTTATTTATTTACTGCCTTTCTCAGCCAATTGGCGACTCAAGGCGGTTTCCAACAAATCAGTACATATAGAAACATAATACAGATTAAAACATTAAACAATATAAAACACCACAAAAGAAATAAAAACAACATCATTATTGTCTCATTATTATCAAGCATTGTCCAGTTCAATTGTCAAATCGTTCGATTTGGCCCATGAGGTCTCTTCCAACTCTTTGATTCTTTGATTCTTTGATTCTATGATTCTATGATTCTATGATTCTATGATTTCCTATATTAGCTACTCCGCATTTGTAAACGCTTGCTCGAACAGCCATGTTTTAACTTGCCTCCAAAACCTTAAGAGGGATGGAGCAGATCTAATCTCCCTAGGGAGGGTGCTCCATAGCCAAGGGGCCACCACTGAGAAGGCCCTGTCTCTTGTCCCCGCCAAACGTACTTGAGACGAAGGCGGGATTGAGAGCAGGTCCTCCCCAGACGATCTTAGAGTCCTCGATGGTTCGCAAGGGGAGACACATTCGGACGGGTAAGTTGGGCCAGAACTGTTTAGGGCTTTATAGGTCAAAACCAGCACTTCGAATTGGGCCCGGTTGCAAACCGGCAGCCAGTGGAGCTGGCGCAACAAGGGGGTTGTATGCTCCCTGAGAGCTGCTCCTGTTAGCAACCTTTTGTGGTCCTGACTCTTTTCAGCCTTGACATTCAAAATATCAAAGAATTCTAAGTATACTGTGGACTGTTAAAAATAAAAATAACTTGATCCTAGAGTAAATCAAGGCTGAACTCTCTTTAGAAGTCAATATGACTAAATTGAAACTAAGGACCTCATCACATGGATGAAGTCCAGCATTGCGATTTGCCAGCTTCCGGGTCGGATCAAGGGAGGCAGCGGGGCAATCCCGGCAACGAGCCCAATCAACAGTTGAAGCTTCTACATCAAACGTGAGAAGCATCACCATATGATTTCAGCCCGCAGTAGCCCCATTGTTCCTAATGTAACACAGGGAGGCTAACATGTTAGTGACAAAGCATCCTACCACGCTTCTGTCTCAGTTCATTTATGGAGCCCTGTCAGAAGCAATAATAATAATAATAATAATAATAATAATAATAATAATAATAATAATGCTTTATTTCTATACTGCCCTCTCTCCCCAAGGGGACTCAAGGTGGTTTACATAAGAAGGTAGACATTCGAAATCTAAGAGTACAAAACATATCAAAATACATGATAGAGCACAATAATAACTGAGTTTATCATGAAGGATTTAAGCATTGAGATTAAAAAATATAACAGAATAGTCAGTAAGACATAATTAACTAAAACCTAAATAAAAATTATAACAAATACCCTCAAAGCTGTTTAAAATACAGTTACATTAAAAATGACTAGCAATGGTTGTTGCACTCCAGACCAGGAAAAACCCCCTGACTTTAAACATCACACAGTTGAGTAGATATATAATCTGTTTATTGAAGATAATTAAAAAGCAGTAAAGTAAAAAGCACTTTAAAGGAATAGGTAAATCCAATTAGGTAGGAAGATAAGCCGGAACAAAATAGTTGAGTATTAGCCCATCAAAGTCCATGAAAAACAAAGGCAGAAACTTCTATAATAAAATCCAAAAAACAGGAAACATGAATCCAAGGCACTTGAACACAGAATCATAAAATCCAAAGAACAAAGGCATTTAAACATGAATCTTTCCAAAGCAATGCTTCCAGGAGACAGGGATAAGATCTTGACTTGATTCCAAATGATGCTTCATCTGACTACAGATCCTGTACTTGGGACTTTTATGTCCAAGCATTCAGAAATTGGTTTTACTTTAGCCTTGAATCTGTTATCTTTCTTTCTCTGAGCCTGGCAGAACCCGGAAGCCACTGCTCTGCTGTCCTGTTTTGACGAATCATATCCCGTCTATCTATTTGCTCATTAATTTCTGCAGCTGGGACAGGTGCCGAGCTGTTTTCAAGCTCCAAATCATGGGAATTCTCTGGGAGCAATTCAGGGAGCACACCGTCATCCCCACACCCTTCAGGGACATTCTCATGAGAAACTATACTTTGTAGAGGGTTCTCCTGGTCATTCTCTGCATCACTATCATTGACAAGACCATTACTCTCATGAACCTCATTGTCATCACTCCCCCCATCCAAAGCACCCTGATCCTTAAACACAATCACAGGCTGAGCTCCAACAACAGTGTTCCTTCACAATGTATTGTGACAACCATATAGTGCAAGTGGAATTGGCCAATATTCCGAATGGGTAACGTGTTTTAGTCCTGCTCCTCTTTGTACGCTACAATGCATAAGTGTGTTTTTAGAAGTGTCTTAAAGGAGAGGAGGATAGGGACTGGTTTTGCTTCTTTGGGAAGGAGTTCCAGGGACAGGGAGCAATCACAGAGAAGGCCTCGTCTCTCGTTCCATCAACCAGGCTTGTGATATCTGTGGGGCCGATATCATCTGATGGACAGCATAGGGCTCTGTGAGTGAACTAGGGAAGAAGTGTCCAAGGACACTTCCCTTTTCACATGTGATGAGGTCCAAACATTATTGACCACATCATGAGGAGACAGGATTCATTAGAAAAGACAACAATGCTTGGTAAGGTAGAAGACAGCAGGGAAAGAGGAAGTCTACATTACGGGACTTCATAAAACTACAAGTCCTATTATTTTAATAGCATTGAGCCATGACTTTTAAAGGGGTGTCAAACAATCAATTCTAAAGTGTAGGTTCAAAGAAGATAAACTCTTAGGTACTTACCTGAAGTCATCCAAAGGGTGGTGCGGGTCTCTGAGCCATTGGGAAGGCGGCACACATAGGTTCCTGCATCGCTCAAACCCAGATTCATGAGGAATAATGACCCTGGAGCTTGAGTCAATCGCTTGTTGAACTGAAGAGGAGTCACCTCATGTGTGGTATGGTTTTGAATCACTTCCACACTCTTTCCAGTGATGTTGACACATCTAGAATGCAGAGGGAACCAGAACCAACGTGTTTGAGGATTTGTAGCTTCACAGGGAATTAGGACTTCTTCCCCAGAAATGCGGAAGACCTCTAAGGGAGAAGAGAAACAGAAGTTTGCATCTCAGCCCAAGACTCTCATCACTGTCGTTGTCATTTATCCCTTTCTTATCTAAATTTGTGACTCTGGGGAGCTTACAATTTAAGGAAAATGATTTAAACATATTAAAAATGAATATTAAAATGGAACTGATCTACAATAAGGTCTTGCATCTGCTGAATCCATATCCACAGCTTCACTTACTTTCACTCAGGGAGAAATGGTCTTTTCTGAATCCTCCAGCCATTCCATGGCATGTTTCCTCCCAGAAAGGATGTTGTTTTGGAGAAACTCTATGTCCTCCAACCCAATTCTATAGCATGCTGGGACAAGGAGTAGGCAACCAGTCATGCTGGAAATGTATCCCACATGGAAATGAGGGGTGAGGGGAGGGGGTCCTCATTTAATAATAATAAAATTAATAATAATAATAATAATAATCATCATCATCATCATCTTTATTTATATTCTGCTGTATCTCCCCAAGGGGACTCAGAATGGATTACAGGCCACCGAGGTTTAGCACAGCTGGCTAGGGTTTAGCACAGCTTGTAAATCACCAGCAATGATAAGATCTACCAACCGAAAGGCTGCCAGTTCGAAGCCCCAGGTTGGCGTGAGCTGCCGACTGTAAAGCCCAGCTTACTGTTCACCTAAGCAGTTTGAAAACAGCTTGTGCTGTAATTAGAGAAATTAGGTACTGCTAAAACAAGTGGGGGATGCATTTTACGACACCGTAAAGAAAGAATATCAGAAAAGGCTGGGTGACCAAAAGGAAGGAGGAAGTCCTAGTGGCTCTTTGTCATAGAGGATGGAGTGACAGCATCCCCTGTGGCTGGATTTCGAGCACAACCTTCCAAAGCACCAAAAAGCTGGATGTCGACATTGATACAACATACCTCATTTTGTTCTTTCTGTCTCTGTATTGTCTATCCAAAATGACATTGAATGTTTGTTGTGTATGTGTACTGTGATTTGCCCTGAGTCCCCTTGGGGAGATAGGGCTGAATATAAATAAAGTGTTATTATTATTATTTATTATATGGCAAACATTCAGTGCTGTTACACAATGAACAAAGACAGTACATAAACAGAGGTAAAGGCTTCCCATCTTTTTCCATCTCTGGCATCTGGAGGCTGTGCTCAACTTCGGCCATGGGCAGGTGCTGTTTTTCCATTTTCCATGCCAAGGAACTTGTTGTCTATGAACACCTTCTTGATAGAATTGCTGGCATGTCTTCATTTGCGCCTTTTTATCTCCCCGCCAAAGAGGTAGCTACTCACATTACTGTTTTCAAACTGCTAGGTAAGCAGAAACTAGGGCTGACAGCAGGAGATCACCCCAACCCATGGCTTGAACTGCCAACCTTCTGGTCAGCAAAGTTTTCTGAAGCTGGTAGTTTAACCCACTGTGCTAACTGCAGTTTATTTGACAATACAAGAATACAAATCATTTGACAACACAAAAATGATTTAAAACAACACTTCAACACTTTAAAATATACAAAGCAATTAAAATATTTTTAAAATGGTAAGAAAAGTGATGTAAGAGTTATTGATAGTAAGATCTCAGGGTCAGGAGAGCAGGGGAATGAGAGGTCCCATGAACCCCTTGCGAGTATTAGGTGCAGACCTGAGCATCGCTTCAGCTAGCTCAGTGGTTTTCAACCTGTGGGTCTCCAGATGGGTTGTTGTAGGTTTTTCGGGCTATATGGCCATGTTCTAGAAGCATTCTCTCCTGACGTTTCGCCTGCATCTGTGGCAGGCATCCTCAGAGGTTGTGGATGCAGGCGAAACATCAGGAGAGAATACTTCTAGAACATGGCCATATAGCCCGAAAAACCTACAACAACCCAGTGATTCCAGCCGTGGAAGCCTCTGACAATACATTGGTCCCCAGATATTTTGGCTTTCAACTCCCAGAAATCCTAACAGCTGGTAAACTGGTTGGGATTTCTGGACGTTGTAGGCCAAAACACCTGGGGACCCACAGGTTAGAACCACTGAGCTAGCTGGAAGAAAATGCTCCGACCTCAATATCTTCCTTTTCTGCCATCCACCACACACCCACTTCCCTCTCTCTGAAATCTCAGATGCCCACAATTGGATCCGTTACCATGTCCTTTTGTCAGGATGTAGCATTCCATCAGTATGCACAGCAGACAGAGCTCCATGGTCGCCCGCTCTCTCTTCGCAGCGCTTTGCAATTTATTTCACAATAATGGAAATCCCGAGGCAAGAAGAAAACATTTAGAGTGTGAAGCTAAAATTATTCATCCGGAAAAGTTATCTCTCCCTGTGGTGGGCTTGGGTGTCTCTCACGGGGGCAAAGGAAAGAGCAACTTTTAATCGGTTTCAGCCAGTCGGAAAGGAACTGCACGAGGGTTTTCCCAGGCAGAAAAGACACTTGAATGGTTTTTATTGAGTTTTCTTCTCTGTGATGCAATTTTGAAACCCAATCTTCATTGGCGCTGCTAAAGATAGTCAAAGTGATAGAAACTGTGACCCTGATGCCCATGTAATATCTTTCTTTAAAACTACTTTTTAAGAGACTACGGTGAAGGAAGAGTAAACGTGCTTATGAAATTTGCAGATGAAACCTAGTTAGGAGGAGAACCTAATATCCCAGAGGACTGGGGCCAGAATCCAAAATGATCTTAACAAATTGGAGAGCTGGGCAAAAACTAACAAAATGAATCTCAGCGGGAAGAAATGCAAGGTATTACACCACCAAACGCAGCATTGCCCAAACACGAATCAAGGAACATGAAAGGCACTGCAGACTACTTCAACCAGAGAAGTCAGCCATAGCAGAGCACCTGATGAACCATCCTGGACACAGCATATTATTTGAGAACACAGAAATGCTGGACCACTCCAACAACCACCATGTCAGACTACACAGAGAAGACATTGAAATCCACAAAGCATGTGGACACTTTCAACAGAAAAAGAAGAAACCATGAAAATGAGCAAAATCTGGCTATCAGTATTTTAAAAAACTCTAAAATCAGGGCAGTAAACAAAGAACAAGATTCATGAAGCAGGGGAATTCCCTTTTACCACTTTTCGTGAACACTTATTTATTTATTTTGTATCAAAAGCATTGCATACATTAATATAAAACTGATAAAAACAGAAGGAGTGCAGGTGGCTAAATATCTTTTGACCAAAAATGGGCAACAGCAATGGCATTGTCTGTAGCCTCCAACAATTCTTCCTCTGTACATGAGGCAGGGCATAGTGGACAAGCATACAGATGCGGAGTTGTCTGTTCTGCTCCACAGTCACACAAGGTGTAGGATTCTTTTAGGTAGTGCCATTTTGCCAGGTTGTCTTTTGATCTGCCCACTCCACTTCTGAGTCTGTTCAGGGACTTCCAAGTTGCCCATTCTTGGTTTGCCCCTGGAGGAAGACCCTCACGGGGGTCATCCAGTTGGGATTTCCTGGTTTAGCTGCCCAGAGGGATACCCTTGCTGTCGCTGGAGGGACGCGAAGAGGAGTGGTTGTTCTCATAAAGCTTTTCCTTGACTTGAGTCTACTGGGAGGAGGCTGGTAGCCATGTAGTGTGTGGCTTTCAGTGTTCAACCTTATTTCTCTCACATTTAGCAGCAATATGTGAGAGCAACATGTGTCGCACATCTGGAAGGGGGGGGCAATGCCAGCTAGCTTGTAGAGTTTATCAACAGGCGTAGATTTAAGACATCCTGTGATTATTCTGTATGTTTCATGAAATGCTATGTTCACCTGCTTTGCATGGGCAGACTTATGCCAAACAGGACAGGCATACTCGGCAGTGTTCAGTTTGTGAACACTGAAATGAGCTCTCCCATAGTCCCTGCCTCTTTCACATACGTTTACTCAGAGTGTTCAAGTCCTCTCCTTTAACACCCCCTAGCTTTAAACAACATATTTTCTTTTTTTTTTAAATCCTTCTCCATGTAAAGAGTTGATTGCTCCCCATTGAGCAAAAATAATTTTAAACTCTGGCAATAGCCAATTGTTTTTCCCAGGGTATGCCAAGGCACATGCTTCTGTGCAGTGTGCTTTGATTTGTGAATTGCTTTGCAATTTTCATTGCTGAGATACACATTTCCTGCTGCTGAATGGAATTTCTAGCTCTTTCCCTGTTCTTTTGCAGGCAGCATCAGGAGCAACGGACCACACATTGTGTGTGTATATGCACACATTAGGGCTCTGCAAAATTTTGTTGTTAATTGTATCTATTTTGTAAGATTTGTACATACAATTCAATATTAAGAAGGCGAGGGGCGCCTATGAAAAGAACTTAAGAATCAAAACACTGGCCTATGACTTTCAGAAGTTATGTAAGTCTTGTAAATGGCTTCAGATATTCATCGCGGGTGCCACTTTCCCCCCAAAAAGGGCTGGGTTTGGTTCTCTCAAAGAGCCCCGAGGATCATGGCAAGGCTGTTGTAGATCAGCCTGAGACTGATTTTTTAGAGAGGATTGTGGGATTGCCTGTGGGATTTCCAGGGGCATGAAGGGATGAGGATTTAAGTCAAGGGAATGATGCTTCTTTCAGTGAGAAACCTGACTTCAAGGTCAGTCAACGCAGCCAGACATTAGATTAGGAGGAGTCAGGCAGAGAATTAAGTGACACAGAAGGCTCCCAGGAAAAAGCACCTGGAGATGCAGAAATCAACACAGGCCTTTGTTGCCTACAGAGGCAAAATACAACCTCACTGGGAGAAAGAGAAGGTAACATGGTGGAGACCGCATGGCCTTCTAGGGGCAATTTAAAAGGAAGTTTCCTCACAGAATTTCATTACTGTGCCATCAAAAGGGGGAGCAGACAGTGGCTAGCAGAAAAGACAAAGGCAAAGCGCTTTAGGACACATGCATTGGAATGTGGGAAAAGGAATCCCTGAGCTTGGCCCTGTCTCTAGTCTATTTATTGTGGACTATACATTTGATGAAACAAAGACTTGTGCAGTCCAGGGATGAAACCCAACAAGCGACTGCACCAACCCTAGTGCCATTGCATACAGTGACCTTGTTAAGACCAGATACATCACAACCATTGTAATGAAATCACCATCAATGGCCTCATTGTCTCCTGGTGAACATACCTTGCTGTTAGAGGGCATTCCACATTTCCAATCCTTGGCATTATTTTTGGTCACATGACTGTGGACACTCCACATTTTTTGGATAATGTGAATAAATGTGCACTAATTTATACAATTTATGTATTATTTATTTATTTGCTTTGTTATGTATCTATATTAGTAGATGCAGTCTTCTCTCACACATAGTAAAGGTAAAGGTTTCCCCTTGACATTAAGTCTAGTTGTGTCCAACTCTGGGGGTTGGTGCTCATCTCCATTGTCCGTTGATGCCTCCAAGGTCATGTGGCAGGCATGACTGCATGGAGTGCAGTTACTTTCCTGCCGGAGCAGTACTTATTGATCTACTCACATTTGTATGCTTTCGAACTGCTAAGTTGGCAAAACCTGGGGCTGGCAATGGGAGTTCATGCTGTCCCGTGGATTCGAACCATTGACCTTTCGGTCAGCAAGTTCAGCAACTCAGCAGTTTAACCCGCTGCACCAATGGGAAGGATACCCATGCTATCCTCTGTATATACATACCTTTATAAACAAAACCTTCTTTCCTGGCCTTCAGGAAACCCAAACACTTAAAAGGCTCAACTTGGCTCATCCTTTCACCAATCATTTCTTCTGACCACTAACTTGGACAGGCCTCATGTCTAAAATTCCAGGTTTCATGTAAAACATCAGGGCAAAGAGCAATGATTTTGAAATGGATTAAAGCCCAAAGGTAATCACGGCAAACAATTTGTCAGGAATGTCGTTAGTAAATTTCTCCTCCTGCAACAATAAAAAAGGGATGCTGGCTATAGCTGGTCGCAGAACACACTCAAATATGTCATGAGATGGGAAGGAAAAAAAACTCAGCAAGTATAAAAAATACCATCTTTATTGTGAACCCTTGACAATGGCGCAAGGGTTTGGAGGTTTAGAGGATAAATATTACAGGGGAGAGGAGGCAGATTTACAGCTTGCGGATGGGAGGATAACAGTGACAGTTGGACATACAGGCACACACACGCAGGGACAGCCAATGCACTCGGCAGCTGAGCAAGGAAGACACCGATATAGGAAGCCATGAGTGCCCTGGGAAAGGGGGTGCTATAAGCTCCACGGAAGGTGAAAGTCCTGCGGAGGGAGCGGAGTACAGTGTGTTGCCTCAAAGTTTTGGAGGTGCTTCCGGGCCTGGGAAAATAAAATGCAAAATTAAAGGGTTGCAAATCAAAAGGATTCCTAAAATATAAACTTTTTTTCTTTACAAGAATGGAATAAGGATAAATTTGGAACATAGTGTGAAGCTGGATACAATGGAAAGCAAGCATTCCTACATTTGGCTGATGGAAAAATTATTGCATTGCTGATTTATACCAGATCTTCAGCCATTGTGTTTGCAGCATAAACCGAGGAAAGAGGCTAATGTACAGTTTAATAGTAGAGGATGCCAACTCTCCATCCTGTGCAAGTAGTCAAGGGCTGGCATCCTATTTGAAGTTTCCTTAGCATGGTCCACCAGTGCACAAACTTGGCAGTCTTATTTTGGAAGGCAAGGGCAGCTAGATGGGGGACAAAGGGTAGAAGGGAGCTTTTCTGCCCCCTTCACAATTATGTGGGTCATGTGGTGGAATCTTGCCTGGACATTCTGGTGGCAGTTAACACAGCTCTACATGGGGTTGTAAATCAATATAAACATCCGTATATATGGTAATTGTCCAGCCCACCACTGGGGAGAAAGGCCATCCTGAATAAACTACTGCAACATGCTCTTCGTGGGGCTGCCTTTGAAGACTGCTCGGAAGCTTCAAGTGGTCTAACGGGTGGCAGCTAGATTCCTCACTGGAGAGGCGTACAGGGAGCACACAACCCCTCTGTTACGTCAGCTCCACTGGCTGCCAGTCTGCTACCGAGTACAATTCAAAGTGCTGGCTTTAGCCTATACAGGCCTAAATGTTTTCAGCTCAGCTTAACTGTCTGAACATATCTCCCTCTATGAACTATCTCAGAGATTAAGATTGTCTGGGGAGGCCCTGCTCTCGATCTCACTTCCTTTGCAGGTGGACGAAAGACAGGGCCTTCTGAGTGGTGGCCCCTTAGCTATGGAACTCCCTCTCCAGTGTGATCAGATTAGCCCCTTCTCTCCTGACCTTCAGGAAAAACTTAAGGCGTGGCTTTGGGACCAAGCTTTTGACAAGTAATTGGGAGGGATAGCCAATACTCCAGAAGACAGGAGCAGAATTCAAAACGGTCTTGACAGATTAGAAAGATGGATCAAAACTAACAAAATAAAGTTCAACAGGGACAAA